ACTCTGCCACTAAGTTCATGTGAACATTCATCTTCTATCCAGTTGCTGAATACTTACCTGAGGTGTACACAAACTGAAGAAACACTGAGTGCTCTAGCTTTAACACAAAATCATACATATTTATGCTAATTTAAATCTACCTCCACATGCAGTGTTACAACGGAATGATGATTTGTTGACTTTTTCATTGGATGTTTGTGGATTTTATGTGAACAGCCATGCAATTGTTTAAGCTATATTTCATGTAAAACGGCTTCCAGATCTAATCTCACAGCACCTATTTTTTACACATTTTCTAGGAGGGCATACCCCCAGATCTCTGTAGCATTAGCATGCTGATTGTGCTTCACTCGATATGTGTTGGCTTTTGATCTCACAAACTACAGCCCCCCCCCCCCCTTTCAAACATTCTGTGTATGGACCTGATGATACCTCATACCTTGCTAGATTTGATTAATATTGCCAAATTATAAACTCTTCATGGTAGCTACTTTATGGAATACCATAAATTGTGACTTCTGCTTCTTGTTTTACCAAAGCTTTAACCATAATAAGATATCCCACACCTCACTAAAATTCACTCATATTCTTCCAGAGATTAAGCCTTCAATGTAACTAATTAATGGAATACCATATATTGTGACTTGTTCTTCTTAATTTACTGAAGCTTTAACAAAAATATTATATCTCTTACCTTACTAGAATTAACTGATATTTTTCCAGTGATAAAGCCTTCAAGGTAGCTGCTTAAAGGAATACCATGGATTGTGACTTCTGCTTTTTGTTTTACTATGGTGCTGCAAAATAATCATAAGGTAAATAAAAAATTAGCTTGCTTACAACTGTTCAGATCATTTTATAGTAGATAAAAAAATATAAACAATTTCAATATAATTCTAAAAATATATTTCATATTTTATAAATATGCTGATTTGCTATAAGACATCCTCATTAAGTAACATAGAACTTTATAAACACAGGTCTAAGGCTAAGCTAGATTACTACAATTTTTAGATTTGTTCCACAGAGAAATACAAAACAAGAAAAACATCCAAAAACCTATGTATTGGCTAAGCTTTTCACCACTTACTAATATTAAAGGTTGTATTTATAATGATTACTCATCACAAAATCAGAAAGGACTGTCATGTGTAGTACATAAATAACAAAAATAGTTTTCCTAGAAATAGTTAAACTTAGACAGGTTTGAACAACAAGACATATGCAACAAAAGGTTAACTTATCAAATTTAGACACAAGGTATGAACAGTTGGACATATGCAATAAATAGTTAACCTATCAAACTTACACACAAGGTATGAACACCTGGACATATGCAACAGATAGTTAACCTATCAAACTTAGATGTGAGGTATGAAAACCTGGATATATGCAATAGATAGTTAAGTTATCAAACTTAGACACAAGGTATGAACAGCTGGACATATGCAATAAATAGTTCACCTATCAAACTTAGACACAAGGTATGAACACCTGGACATATACAACAGATAGTTAACCTATCAAACTTAGATGTGAGGTATGAAAACCTAGACATATGCAATAAATAGTTAACCTATCACACTTAGACAAAAGGTGTGAACAGCTGGACATATGCAATAAAAGGTTAATCTGTCACACTTGGATACAAGTTACAAACAGCTGGACACATACAATCTATTTGTGTTTTCCACAGCAGCACTACCTGGATTGCTTTGTATCTAACCATAGAATATAAACAGACTTAACAATTTATTGTAATTATTCAAAAATATAAATGCAATTCTTGTAAAAGGTCTATCAAAGTGCTCAACTCAGTACATTAGTCTGAGAGAATATGGAAAATTTGTAAAGCACTTGAAAGAACTTGTTTTTCCAACATAAGAGATTGGAAAATCTGGGAAACATTTAACTTTATACACTTTCTGTGAAAGTGCTCAAAGTACACAATTCAGGAAGAATTTTTTCCAATATCAGTTGGAAAACCTTGAAAACACTTAATTGTAAGGTTATTTTTGTCAAAGTGTTCATTACACTGCTAACTTTCTGAACAAAACGTTTCCCCAAACTTCAGGTTAACTGACTAAAGAATTGGAGAACTTTTCCATATAGAATTTATTAAATGTACAAATTGGTATTTAATTATAAAAAACTTTATTCATAATAGCTATTTTAATTATTATTTGAATTATAAAACTGGTAATCAACAACTGTTTTACAACTACAGTACTAGCTTACCAATCTTCTTTTGATGGATGAGGGGAATAAGTCATTTTCTCAACTATAGAAACTTCTTTGCAAAAAGTGATCTGAAAATAAAAACTTAATTCACATCCACTCCCTAAACTAACATGGAATATGAAAGTAAAAAATAAAATTAATTGTAATTTCCTAAACTGAAAATAACTGAAAGTAATTCCCTGTTGTGTGAATTATTTGTTTGTTGTTAAGCTCGAAGCTACACAATGAGCTATCTGTGCTGTGCCCACCACAGGTATCGAAATCCAGTTTTTACGGTTATAAGCGATTAGGCTTATCACTGAGTCACTGGGGGAGAGGTTCTAACTGGAAATTGATATAAAACTAAAAACAAAATTCAATGTACTTGTCTGTTGTGACAGCTAAAAACTGACATAAAAGTAGAAAGAGCATAAACTGTACTTATAAGAACAAGCTATTAAAATTTCATTGCAAATATTTAGCTTCCAACCAAAAACACAGAAAGAATTTAATATTAATCTAGTGATATTTTTTCTTATTAATAATTCCAGTGAATAATGTTATATACTTGACTTTTAACTGTATTTTGAGAAATAAATATTTATGAAAAATATATAGACGTGAGCAAAAGAAGACTTTTAACAACGCACTTGCAGCAGATGTTCAACAACTCATTAGCAGACATCATCGAATTTCTTTTTTTTCTAATAATTACAGTTTACAACATGTAATATATGTGAAATATTTGTTGAAAACTGAATAATGATAAACAATCTATCTCCTGAGCCTACAACTCGACAATGTAACTTAAACAACAGCCACAATTACTCACTATTTAATTTGAATCCTGATTAGCATTGACTCTCTTCGCTACAAACTGATATTATACAAACAATGAAATAGTAGCCACAATTAATAGGCGTAAAAATCATGTTAACTGTAGATGCTTTTTTCTACATTTCTCTTACTTGTCCACTTCAGATTCAAAATCAAAGGTGTATTTATATAGACAATATATAAACAGTTATACAGTAGCCACAATTACTCACTATTTATTTAATATGTTGTTGTAAACTGTTTTATCATTGGATAGGTTCTTTGGGCTTATTTGGTAAAAGAAAATACCAAATCCACTTCATGTAATGATAAATTAATTTATTTCTTAAATAATGTTTTCTACATTACAAGTTACATTCCTTGTAGGCCTAACTACACAGAAAAACATTTAAACAGAAACTCTGAAACTACTTTCACATACCTCAAACTCATAAGTAATGCTCAAGTTACTTTCAGAATTTCCTTTAATGGATCAATTACAAACAGGCTAAAAAAATTGCTGTTAATTATATTGCAGACAAATATATGTAATAACTATCATTGTTTAAGTTAATAAAAGACACCAAACTTATAAAAAAATTATCAGAAGTGAGGAGGATGGGTGGGATGTAAGTACCTATCAGAAATACATTTTCAGTGTAGGAATAGCTAGAATCCCACAGCGAAACAGTAGAAGAACTGGTGCAAAAGTTACCTAGATGAGTATTCTTCAGAATGTACTCAAAGAGAACCCATGGATTGCAATACCCTAAGGTATAGGGTTACATCATGAGAGACCACTTCATCAGTACCAGTTATACTCTTTGCCCATGTAAAGATAAGCTACACTAAATTGGGTAGAAAAGACACTATTCCAATCTATAATTGAATGCAACAGATGGTTTATAGTGGCTAGGGCACATCAGATAGTATACTATAGGCTAACTCCAGTACAAAACCAGGTGGTATCGGGTATTTGCCTTTCAGTCTGTGGTTGGAGGAGAGTCCCAAATGTCTTCACCTCAAGCCCAGGAAGAAGGGAAATGCAAATTCCATTCCAACAACCCAGGCAGGGCATGTGTGTCCAGTCCTGGTGCACAAGCAACACCAGGCCACCCAGTAACCTGAAGTCTGAGAATTGTAGGAAGGGTGAATACAAATGTGGTGGGTCAATTCCAGTCCAAAACCAGGCAGCATCAGTAATTTGTCATCCAGTCTACAATAGGAGAGGGCCTCTACCAATCACATGTGTAAGAATTTATGTTGGCTGATCCTACACCAGATCACCCACGAACTGACATCCAGGCAGCAATAGGATGGAGTAAAGCCGGCCTGAGGAGTGAACTACATGTGGTGTATTTGTCTAGTCCAAAACCAGGGAGGATCGAGAATTTGTCTTCTGGTCCACAGTAGGAAAAGAATACTCACTATCTACCCTGAAAGAACACTACTACCCTATTCTTGACTGAGTGGAAGCAGTCTCATTAAGGAGGAAGCCTCCATGGTCCACCACCCCAGAGACTAGGAATTGATAAGCGGCAAGAACTCTCATACCTCACTGGAAGAGGGGATAGGAACACAACACCATAAGATAGTGTAATAGGTGACCACAAAACCCCTGTTTTGAAAAGCATGCCAGTCCCATTTTATTCAACTAAAAGATCTTGAGTAGAGGATGAGTTCTGGGAGATAAAAAGATGAGAATGTGAGTCATGAAACAAAACTGTGGGTGTGTGCAAAATAACAATGAAGAGCTTGCATGGGACTAAAAAGACAATCAGGATCAGGTCGGAAATACAGATGTGCAATAGATGGAAGGCAAATAAATGTGAATGTCCTGTCCTCTTCATGTGTTACCAATGTTTTTGGGGAAAAAATTATGATCGGGATAAAGGAAAACATATGAATGGTGATAAAAATTCAGAAAACATCAATAGCAAAGACCTCTGACTGACGACGTTCACATGCATAGAGGAGTAAAAAAATAAGTCTTGAGAGAGAGAGAGAGAGATGGTACATAAAGCAAGAGGTAATAGGTTCAAAGTGGAAGGGTATAAAGGTTGAATTGTCAAAATGGATCATAACTAGGTGCTCCTGTACTATAGACAGGAAAAGATCCAATGCCTGACAAACAGCCAGAAGCTCAAAAAGTTGATGTATTGGGTAGTTTCAACTACCAACCAAGAACCAGCTATCTCCAGAGAATCCAAATACACCCCCCCCCACCCTGTTAGAGATACATTTGTAAAGAGATGAAGATCAAGCCAAGGAAGGTGAATGCCAGTCAAGCCAACAGACAATGTCGACTTGGAGGGTGGAAAGAAGAAACAGGGAAAAGTCCAAGGGATCCCAAGCAAGGTTCCATTGACTGTGCAACACAAGGGATTCCAGGAAAGCAGAGATATCCAAAAGAAATAAAATCTTGCATGCAGGAAGAGAAGGAGAATTCCTGGCTTTGGATACCAAATGCTCCATATTCCTCAAATGTATAGGAGAAGGCTGGGACCTGATGAGGTAGGAGTTGAAAAACACCCACAGATGAATAAGATACTGAGTGTGGGTGAGAGGTGACTTCTCCAGTTTGAAATGCCACCTCCTGAAGAAAGATATGAGTATGCTTATGAGAGGTTTGTTGGGAAGGAGTTAAAAGAAGCCAGTCATTCATGTAATGGTGAATCTGCAATCCCAGATTGTGAATACCGATACCCTATTTTTTGAAACCATAAACAGAAGGAAATAAAATTCCAGAGAAGGGAGAAACACTAGTTTGATAGCATCCTGTTGTGTGAGATCTAAAACCAACTCTGAGAGATGCTGGCAAGAAAGTGGATCCTGAGAAGGAGGAAAGAAACGGGAACTGGAGATAATGGAGAAGGAGGAGGGGGAAACTGAACAAACAGTCCTTCTGCTAGCAATTCAAGAACCCAAACATTTTCCACAAATGGGCATCACAGATGAGCAAATATGGCCAACCAGGCTCTCATGGGCCAGAATCCAAGGGGTACTCACTGATGATACTGACATCTGAAAATGCAACAATGGGTGATCTGACAACTCACAGCTAAAACATTGGAAGATGGAATAGGTTAAGGACATGATGCTGGAGGGTGAAACACAGGAATTGAAACAGGGGAGGATGGGGAAAGATGAGAAACAAGAGAGGAAATAGAAGAATGTTGGCACACAGCTTCCACCCGAGACCCTAAGGTATCAGGGACATTTCCAAAAACCAACTAGTGCAAAAAAAGGAGCCAGACAAAGGTCACATAGATAACAAGCAGACAAACACATAAAAAATGGGTGCCCCTGCAGGGAACAAAATAGTTTTGTGAATTTCATCAGCAGCAACTGCTAATCAATATTGAATTTGATTAGCAATTAGCAAATATTGCTTAGCATCTTTTTGACATTCATCATTTTAACACAGTATGACAACTAAATCCAAAACTAAAAGCTTTAACTCTTTGTAAAGACATCCACTAATGAAAAAAGGTAAATGGTATGTTTGTATTCTAATAACATTTTTATTCAGCTTCAAGCCCTAATAATCAATTGTACCTACATGGCATTTCATGAACAAAATAGTTCCTGGTATATAAAGTAAAACTTCAAAACTGCAAAAAATACCAAACATCTCACCTGTCACAAAATAATTCAACAATCGATTAACTAGAGAAAGAAGTGATTTGAAGATATTGCAACTGAACAAAGTTGCCACAAATCATTTTTCAAATTAATCTAGGTTATTTCTTTTCTTTTTTTGTGAGACCTCAACACTCTCTTCACAATGTGGTCTTCTTGGCTTTTGGAATAAGAAAATGTCTAGTGACTTTTCAGTAGTAATTACCCTCCCCCTCAACACAGGCATCTTTTACTGCGAATGTCACAAGGTTTTTTAGTGAGTTACATTAAGAATTTAATTAAACTACATTTTTGTTCATGTTATACCAATTAGTATAGAATAAAATCATAGTTAATAATAATAATCCATATTTTAATATTATACAAGTTTTGAGTCCTGAATTTTATAAGGTAATATTAAAAAACAAATCATGAATTTCCCCTAGTGTGAGAAATGTGACATTTTTTCTCTAAGCATCCTCTCTTTTCTAATTTATTTACTACCCCTCCAAGAAGTACAAAATTTAACTTAAATTACTCATTATAATGTTGTCTTCACTCAGGCAAGCCCCCCAGTGGCACAGCAGTATGTCTGTGGACTTACAATGCTAGAAACAGAGTTTCGATACCTGTGGTGGGCAGGGCGCAGAAAGCCCATTGTGTAGCTTTGTGCTTACCTTCAAACAAACACTCAGGCAAAGCATAACTTTCATAGCCTTCAATTTTGTTTGGTTACAGAGCCACCAAATAAAAAATTAGACACCTCTTGTCACACACACTTGTCACATCCCCTCTTTCAGGATTTGTCAACAGTTCTCTCTTACATTTAATACTACATTGTTTATAACCAATAGAAAGCCAAGGTTTTCATCTATGAAATGAAGTACAGAGAAATGTTATTTTTCTTTCAATACAATCTTCATTCTCATGGAAAACACATCAATTAGCTTGGATAAATTTGTAATAGCTCTTGTCACATAGTTAGAAAGCCAGTAAAATTGTGGTAGTTATGGAATATTGTCTGTTTTTTGCATGTTATCATTCTATGTTCTTTGGTGCATTATTTAATTAAATAAATTATTTAGTGCACTACTACCATTAGTATAAAAAAGTAGGATTAAGTGTCATCGACAGTCAACAGCAAAAAAAACTGTAAAACAAACTGTGCTCTCTGTTAAAGTTTTGTCCAGATGCTCTAGGCCTAGTAATTTATGTCAATAATTAAAAGTAGCAACCAAACTTCTGTCACTATAAAGAATAAAAAACATTACTTTCTTTTAAAAGTTGTCACAAGAAGAAATTTCTAAACTAACAAATACAAATTAATATCATTAAAAACAACACACTAATCTTACTGAACAGTAAAAACAAATATTTTTAAAGTATACTAAAAAAAAAACTGTTGACAGAGCAAATGCTCAAAGTAACTTCAAACTGATTTCCATATGGATTTCTACCATTTGTCAGATATCTATGCAAGATGAAAAAAACATATTATATAATTATAGAAAAATGAAACATAACTTTCTGAGATTCAAAACAACACATTTTAATGAGTCTCTGCAATGAGTGACCAGAACTCTGTTTAAAAAAAAAATGTGTAAGATTCTGGAACAAAACTGTTGGGCCACTTTCTGTAACTTACATTTTTTGACATAAGAATCATTGATTTCTTTACTGGATCTACTACAGAATGTTCACTTGCATAAAACATTCTGTCTGCTCCAAGCACCTGTAAGAGACAATATGAAAATCTAACATACAAAAAAAATCCTAATCTAGTTGAATAACTAAAAATCATTGAACTAAAAGTTCAATGAAAAAAACCATTCTTACATATTTTTAACTTTGAAAAATAATCTTAATATTACTTCTAGAACAAGGATTAGAAAAAGAAAGAACATTATTTTCTAAGAGTGACAATAAATATCACATAGAGTACAGTAAATAAAAAGATCCAGTACAGATCTTGAAGTACAACATTTATCTTGATTTTCAGCAAAGCATAAAATAAAAAGACAGATAACTCTTTGATGGAAAAAATGTATTAAGCACTATGAACAACACTATGTACAATACACAAACATTTTGTTTGATAAATCACTTAATGCATATAAAAAAAAAAGTTGGAAATGGTTAAGAACAGTAACCAATATTAACTTCTGATCAAAGCAAGCTACCAGCTTAAATAAAAATAAACCCAGTAATAAATACTGCTAATTAAATATATTGTTTTTACTTATAAAGATTAGAGTACATTGTTTCATCAAATAGATACCTTTGCTATTAACAATATTTTTGACTGTAAAACAATTATTACAAAAGTTTTGATGTAAAGTTATTATGTCATCATGTAATATTTAAATTGTAATTCCTTTCTTCATGCAAGTAAATTGGTTAAATTTTTTTACATACAAATAAAATTTCAGTTTACTTTTGTCACTGAGGATGGTAGGCCCCACTTTGTACTGATCAGACGATGTGTTTTCAATACTCCTTTTGTTACTCTCCTGTCAACAACATCAACACCCACTACTGCAGGATTCATCGGGTTTGGATATTTCTGCCACACAGCTTGTACAACAGTCTCCCATGGGTGACTATAGGAAGAGAAAGAGAATTCTAATTTTAGCCAAGAATTTCATAATATGCACATTGTTGTAGTTCTGCAGTGTCAGAGGGAGTTCAAATGCAGATTTTCAAACATGGATTGATGGGACTGTAAAAATGTCTCTAATATGGAACACTTTATATAAAATGAAGTTTTTATCAACTGAAAGCTCTATGACCTTGCATATACTTTTGCTTTACAATAATATACCTCAAGTAATAACTTTCTGAATTTCTAATTAATTAGTAAACATGATAGACATATTAAACATCCAGTTTGATAATTAACTGTTCTGTAAGGGTTGGATAAGGAAGATCATGGCAACCCCTTCTAAATTTAGATCTATATCAATGATTATACACAAGGAACACAAAAGATGTCATAGAAATGACAATAATATAATGTGGTATAGATGGTTTGAAAGTGAAAAGTATGGTAGTAGAACATTATTAAACAATGTAGAAAGTTATAGAATATTGAGGTTATTATTAATGGAGTCTTGCCAAAATGGTGCCTTGTTACAAGAAGCGTATACCATGAGTCAGTGCTGCTTCGGCTTTGCCTTTACTCTTTCTTATTTATATAAATGATATTAATGGGGGGAAATAATTAATAAATGAGAACAATTTACTCAGGACATTCAACTCAAGCTTATGATTTGGAAAAAGACAGGTTAATCTTCAATTACAACTGCTATATTTTTTGAACCTTTGAGAAATTTTTTTATTAAAACCACCCTTTACATTTTGAGAAATCATAGATTTACATAGATTTACCAGCTACAAAATTTGTGCCTCCACTACATCCAACAGCAACTAATTCCATAAGTCAATCACTTTGTTAGTGTTACTGATGTTTGAAGCACATGTGAATACTAGTCTCTAAACATATTCCTTATAGAAAGAAAAGAGTAGCTGCAAGTAAAAAACCAGGTTGGCTCACAAAGAGTTTAAGAGTTAAAATTACAGAAAAGCATCATAAATTTAAGAAATTTAAACTGACTGGTATGACAACAGATTTAGAAGATTATAGAAGATCAAGAAAGTTGGAGAAACAGGAAATTAGGACATCAAAAAGGATGTACGAGAAAAGGATGGCTGAAAATGTAAAAATTAAATACAAGAATGTCTTTAAGTACATTAAGGGTAAACAAAATGTTAGGATGGGGGTATGGCCCTTGAGGGATGATAATGGAAGTCTAGTATCTGATGATTATGATATGGCTGGGTTATTAAATTTTGCTTTTTTTTGGTTTTTATTAAGGAAGATTTAAGCGGTATTCCACAACTTAAACAGTTGATAAATAGAAATGAAATCAGACAATATGACTGCATTAATTCTGAGCTGGTTAAGAAAGAATTGGGAATTTAAAGAATGATAAAGCTCCTGGGCCAGATAATATTTCCCCAAGGGTTTTTGAAGGAGGTTAAAGATTGGATATGTGAACCACTTAATATTTTTGTCAGTCCTTGAATAGTGGGCAGGTATCAGAGGACTGGAAGTTAACTAATCTAATTCATCTTTTCAAGGGAGGTGAAAAAATTGGCCCCGTAATTATAGACCCATTAGTCTTACATCAGTTGTAGGAAAGT